CTACATGTGAATATATTGCCAGAACCAGTAATGGTTCTGGACTTCGTCATAGCAACTATCTGTTACGAAGCTAGGCGGCAATCACCTAGGAAAGGGGGGAGCTCACGAATGAGCCCCGAGCAAAAAGTTTCAAGTTTTCGATCACGTGACAGTAAGGGCACGTGCGGTTACCAGATCAAGCATCCCTGTGGTGTGAGAAGAGCCCTATACCATTTCGGGATATCCCACCAAGTGGTAGACGCTTCACATCTACTGTGGGAAGATCTAGCAAGATTTATTGTATGTTTAATGTTCACGTTTCATACTTTTCATTTCTTTCTATTTCACATCAGACTATTTCATATTTCTCTATTGCATATTGGTATATTCCATATCGGTTCATTGCAGGTTTTCTATTTCAGTTTATACTAACATTCGCTCGCCAATTACTTGGCTCGCAGCAGTTAGTATTCGTCTTGGTCTATTTTCTATCTTCTATCTTTAGCACTAAGGCTGTGTAGCAGACCCCATGTACTAGGACCCCAGACCATGAGGTGGGTAGTATATAAAGGGCAGAGCCGCAAGGCGGAAGACAACCTCTTCCACTTGTGCCTCTGACGTTCTCACTGTCTAGAACCCTTGTGCAATCTACTATCTCTTAGAGGTGGCAAGCTCGTACCGCTTGTCGAGGATAGCATCCATTGGCAAAGGCATCTGCCTTGCAGTAAACAACACTATAAACCAGAGATACGATCGTACGTGTGGAAGCTTCACGTGCGGAGAGTTTTAGTGGAGAACGCTTCATAACATTTGAAAGAGGTTTTTCTATAGGTCAACCTGTTTAGGTTTAGAACCACTTACGAGAAGTGGGGTCTACTTGGACGCTACAAAAAACCAACTCCATCAAGTCTTCAAACAGGGGTATCCAATTCTAGGGAACTCGGTGCACGTTGCGGCCTCTGCACCACTTGGAAAAACAGGGAGAACCACTCTGAAGTATCTGTCGCTACGGTACTTCGCCCACGAAGGAAAAAACAGGGAGAACCACTCTGAAGTATCCGTCGCTACGGTACTTCATCCACGAGGGGAAAAACAGGATAAACCACTCTGAAGTAGCTGTTGCTACGGTACTTCGTCAGACAGGAGATTCTCGGAGAAGCGGAACCTGGGTACTTGTTGCGGCAAGGTACCTGCTGAAGGCAGTGTCGACTTGAGCCCCATCCTCACCGGAGGCGCTGGGTATACAGAAGACGCCGGTTAAGGGCCACCGAAAGAAGGCACCCAAACCTTGCCGAGGCCGGTTTTCAATCAAGAAAACGCGGATAGAAAGGACGATTGATTATAGGACACCAAGCAGAGGAAATCAAAAGCCAGAACGACCAAGCGCTCAAACGGGAGTAGGCAGGAGTTCGAAAGTGACTAGCTGGGCACTTTAAAAAGTGAGCATGTCACAGATTTTTACGTTTTCACCTCTGCACGTGACCAAGACATCATTTGACATCAGCGCTAGGCTGTTCAGAAAGGAACGAACTGGTATGCGAAGTACTAACAGTCCTAGATGCCCCGAAGGTCCAGGTCTAGTCACGTGACATATCACGTGATACCCACACATGTGACAAGTAGCGCTGGTATTAGGTAAGCCTAACTTATACAGTAATATCACCCCACCAAGAAGCAATGGTCGGACTCCGGAAGAATCCAACGAAGGGGATACATGCCACCGGAGATATGTTCTTAAGGAAATATTAGTTCACATGCATGAGGTAGATAGATACCATGCCACCGGAGATGTAGCCATTACAGGCAATACCATTCCCATGGTCTTACTAAGTAGTTCAGAGGTTCGGCATGCATGACACATGTAGTCTGACAGGTAGTGGTAACCAATCAGACAATGTCCATTAGCTAGCAGTTCTGGGGTATCAGGGTACCAAGGGTCCCTCCGCTCATGTATATAAGCCAGAGCTCTGAGACGCATAAGTCCCCCAGACTTATTCTCATCTCTGCTACGCCTCTCCATACAGTGTTACCAGTGCTCACTTGCAAGGCACTGCTTTACCTTGATCATCTTTGTGTCCATCCTTACTTCGACAACAGTCAGTAAGTGTTTGATCATAAGGTCATAGGCTTAGTCGGCGCTCTGCGTCCTAAGTTTGTGATAGAAGAATAAGTCTGCTTATCTTACCTGCCTCGAGTGCCTGCCCAGCATACTCACTGCAGTGTTGCGTCTTCGCACGTCCATCCGCACGTTAGCGGTGTCATATCTTCACCTGACATTCCGTCAGTCACTG